TTAGATCGCTCGTGAGTTTTTTTTCCGGAATATGTTGGCTGGGAACAGCTAGATATTTTTATATACATCTGCTGCACCCTTCTGACATCAGTGCTGTCCGTCCTTTCCACTTCACGCCCCTCCCCCCTAAGAGCAGTGCACTATTTTTCAACCGGTTTTATATTGGTTCCACATTATTTACGGCATTTCCCTAGGAAGTTTCACCTTGAAATCCAATCCACCCAACGTCACGTGCCTATACACAGCGCCCACCTCAGTGACTCAACGCCGTCCTTTATCACGTTTCCGCTAATTAACGACTTGGACTTTGCTACAAATTTTTTTTCTATTGTTCAAGTTCAAATGGCTCATAAAAATTGAACGACAATTGCTATATTAAGCTTAGTACGACCAAGGCATGAGGGCACGTCTTGCGTAGGGACGGGGAGTTATATTTTGTTTCTGGAAATGGAGGAGGGTTGCATTAGCCTTTGAAAAAATGTTTTTGCAAGTTGAATTTTTTCTTTTGTTCCGGTTTCCAGTGCGGTGCACACCCTTCTCTCGCTTGACGAAAGTTTTCTGAAGGAAAGCTGGAAGGAAGCTGGGAGAATTTAGAGGGTTATGCGGGTCTGGGAAGAGGTGGGGAGGGTGTCGTACCAGTGGAGGGATTTCTAAGTGGGAGGGTGGATTTTGTAGAAAATTTCCCCAACGGCAAGACGTCTCCTACAAGACACTGCTGCTTTATTGTGATCGCTAACACTGTGGTATATGATTGGACTGGACTGGACATGGACTAGCGCGGTGTAATCACAAGTGGCGCCGTTTACCATGTGCACCATGTGCACAGGGTCAAACATTGGTCAACCTGTCCGCCCAACCAAACCTCCCGTTTCTTCACAACTAGTGGACTTGTCTGGGAAAATAACAGAAGCTGCTCCATCGAATAGCCAGTTCAAGTCGCTGTATTAAATAGGACCAGTCCTCTCTGAAATGCTGTTCCGATTCTTTCCGTTTCCAAGCGGCAATGGAACCTTTGGCGCTCTAGGAATGATCATCGTTCAATTTATTACAAAATGCTGTGTTGTGGGCTAATGCCTTGACCCCAGGGTGGTCTCAAACCCGTACCTAACGCTTTGGGGGCGGGTGCGCTTCCCGTTACGCCACCAGAGCTGCTCTTATGCTTTTTGTTCAGTGGCTGTTGGGTCATAGCCAGGGCACTTAGTATGCGGGGGATTTTCAGGTTAGGGTCGCATTTGGTGGCTGCAGGGAGGTTGTATGTGGTGGCGGAAGGAAGGGAGTCGTAGTTGGCCTGAGAAAAACTTTTTCGATGATCGATTTTTCCTGTTTCGCACGCTATTCACGTTGTCTTGAGACTCCCTGAGAGAGACTGAGAGAGGGATCGCGCTTGCCCGTCACGATGTTGTACCTCATACCTTCCGCGCAGCCTTGATCTTTGGAGTACACCTACAATTTCCAAAAAATCACGGAAAAAGCGAAGTAACCCCTCCCGAATGAGGAGCTTGGGAAAAGTCAGTAATACGGTAAGCAGGATAAAGAGGAGGCTTGTACCAGAGGAGGATTGGGGGAGGGCCATTCCGCGAAAAATTTCTTCAGCTCCCGTACGTGCCCTACCACTGGTCTTAACACTCACACTTATGGTTAGTGCGTGTTATATGGGCTCATGTCCCGCCTGCTGTCCAGACTTTTGTCCACAACCTACAATATTTGTGCTATTGGGATAGTGTGCGTTAAGCAGTAGCTGTCACAATATTTTCAGGTTACTGACCGTCCTGGACCTCCTGGTAGGCCTTCTGTGCAGGACCAAAACGTGGATTCGGTGCGGTTGCTGTGGTCGGCTCCAACTCAAGATGGCGGCTCACCCATCCGTTACTATACAGTGGAGAAGTGCACGGTAAGCAAGAATTCCACTATGGTCGCTATCTTCAGAACAAAAGGGTTCCTGGGCTCCACTCGTTATGACGCGCATGTTTTTTTGACATTTGAGGATTATAATGACGTGTTTGCATTAACGCGCATTGAGCACTTAATCTCTTGAGAGTCTATTTAGCGCGGCTGACTATGAGGATGCGAAAACTCGATCATAGTCAGATGAATGAGTACTAACAAGTAGGGGATGATCTGTCTCTCTCGCGAGAACTCCGTCTCCCCTGCAATTCTTTTTCAGGCTTCTGCAAAAGTGTGGACGAAGGTCGAAACGACGAAGCAGCCATTTGTCACCCTGTTCGACCTCAGCCCTGACGAGGCCTATCTATTTCGCGTCAGGGCCAGCAATGCATTCGGACAATCGGAACCGTCAGAAGAATCGGACATTGTTTACGTGAAGGTGAATGCTAAGCCCAAACAAGACTCGAGGGTTAGTGTAGCATGTGTGGGAGCTTTTGCGTGTCCATAGACGTACTCAATCCATTTCAAGTGAAAAGCAATGTGGCATTTTGTTGAGCCCAAAACATTTGCCTCCAGGGACACACATCCTGCGAAGTTCCTCATTTCACATTTGAAGGATGTTTGAGGGTAGATGCTTGGCTTTGGACGCTAACTCTGGGCTAAAGTGCTGTCTAATGCCTCAGTTCGCGCTCTGAAAGATATCACCAGAATGTTGATCCATGGACAAAGGACCTGACCCACAGGGGAGGGGCTCAAACCTGCGACTCACGCTTTGGATAATCGAGAAAGAAACTTGGTCACGACACGTCCTGTCGTTGATAAAAATTTCCTGTAGAATACGACACCACCCCCCCCCAACAATATCTCCCTATATCGGTACTACCCCCCCCCCCTTTCCATCTCCATCCTGGCTACCTTCTTTCTAATTTTTCTCAACTTCCTACCACTTTCCGCAGCTTTTTTCCAGACATTGTTCCCATTAATCATCACCCCCCCCCCCCAAAAAAAAGTGCCGTCGAGGTGGATGCGGAAGATGTATGGCGCAGCTGAAAGAGTGAAAGGATAAAACAAGAAAAATCAAGACTGAGAACATTTTGTTTGAAAGAACGCCTCCTTCAAGCGACCAAATATGACCCTTCGAACTTCTTCGGTGGGGATTACGTGTTCTATTGGTCAAAGAAGGTAAACGGACGAAGGGAACCATCAAAACTTTTCTGTACTTTTGTTTTTTTCAGAATCTGGGAGATTCAGTATACAAACACAATTTCGAACGCTGCTGTAGAGAAATAACAGGCGCAACCCGAAAACAGAACCTAATGAATCTAGCCCTCCTCAAAATAACGGCCTATTTTTGACCCCAACGTACATCACGCTCTGTGGAATGTTAAATGTTCCCTGGAATCACAATTAGGGCAAGTTATACGTTGGGGCTCCAAAAGAGGATGGTGGAGTGCTTTCGCACTGGGTCGCTGGAGGAAGCGGTCTTCGAAACTACCTTTGAGGAAAATTTTTCCGGTTGTTGACTCTTCTTGGTATTTCCTGTTTCAAGCGCACTGGGCCCCCTCCCCCACCCGGGCGCGCCATCGCGTTGTGATCATTACCTGAAAAATACGAAAATTTTCCTAGATTTTCCCAACTTCCTACCACTTTTTCCATTTTTTCCCAAAAAATTTCCAGTTTTTCAGCCAAGAATTTTCCGTCGAGCGGGGGGGGGGGGTCGTCAGGATTTAACTATCATTTTCAACTATCGGAAATAGTAGTTGTATAGATCTTTGGCAGTCCCTCTCTCAACAACGGCCAAATCAGGGCACAGAATTCGATGGGGATTTTGGTCGAGCCTGTACGACCTCCCCCCGACCCAATAGAAAGGCATCAGGAAAGTTGGCAGAACTTTGGAACACGATACTTATAACACATATAACAGATATAGCACAAACAGGAGCAATAAATGCAATAAAGCAAAAGAAAAAAAGAAAGAAAAGCAATAAATTAAACATTAAACAAACTGACACACGCCACGCTGCGTGACAAGCAAACCAGTCGAAATCAGCTGGTTGTCGAGTATCGATTAGCGTATCGGGGGAAGGGATTCTGGGCAGGACCAGCCATGTGGAACGCGAGTTTTCAGCAAAGTGGGGTGTCTTTGAAGGACTAGGATTCGTTGGGGAGTGATTTCAACTGAACAGGTTTGAATCAATATATTTTTTTGTAACTCAACATTTCACAAATCTGAGAACGGTTTCGAGTGTTTGAAGATTTTCTCTTTCTAAAAACCTCTTGAACTGTTTCTGAAGTTCTCGGGATTCA